CTTTGATGTTCCTCCCCTCTGTGAAGCCTGAAGTCAACCAAAGGGCCCCCTATTCAAAGATGAGCATAACGATAACGTCAAACATCAAGTAAGATAATTCACCTTGGAAAATTCCATAACCGGAAACTTGTAGGCTCAATGTCTAGCGCGATGCTATAATTACCACCAGAGGGCAGAAGTACAAAATGGCAAGGAAATCATGTGAACGAACGGACACTAGTCACTCACAGTGGCGTAGAAGGCCTCCCGTTGTGGTCGGCCAATGTCCACCCACCTCAACCACACTGCAGAGAGCATATCGACTGACCGAGATTTTATTGCCACATCATTAATCGTCGTGACCACCAATGCTTATCAAACTCCCCCTACCCCGGGTAGTAATAATCTTCACTCGGCTACCATGGCAGTAACTCTCCAGATTCTACGACAGAGTCCCTACTCATTCTCTAGCAGCCCAAGAATTATCCGACTGTAAATTGTCTAGAGACGAAGAGCAACCAGTGGGAGACACACGCCCAATAATAATAAGTACATAGACACGCCGGCCAGCATGAACCCTCATAGTTCAACATCTGACGGGCACCGCTTCCGATCATTCTCCCTTAGGTATCCAAAGAAAACGGAAAGCACTTCAAGATAATGCATGATAAGATAAAGGACACAGGAACACTAAGAAGAAAAATGGTTTTATAGCAAAAGATGTAATTTAAATATATAACGAGTTTCGAGTTTATTTCGTTAATTTGAACTGCGTTTCAATTTCCATAATTTCAAGGCAGACATCAGAATTTTCATCAAAGCCCACCCATTCCTAGGAAAGTAAACAACAGCATAAGCAACACTGCTTAATACATATATGCAAATAGAGATGCTTTCAACCTACACCAGAGGAGAGATCTACGTCAGAAAAGACGGTTTCACTGGGGGAGGAGGAAGTGACCTGCCAACCATCCCGAATGGAAAACTCAATTGGAACTAAACCACTACAGCTGAATCGAACAATGGGTCGAAGCTGACCAGAGTCATCGCCAGTATAAGGCTTTACACTATCTGCGACAATATCTATGAGAATAGGGAAAAAATGCTTCTTAAGAATTCAAGTGATACCAGAAGTAAGTTCACGACCACAAAATTTGCACTTCAAGCACATATTGACAGAATTTCTAGAATTCATAGTAGGAATTCTCTCTTCGGAATTTACGGAAACAAATTTTTCGTGAATTTCACCACAACTTGTACATTGTACCTTGAGAAAAAGATTAGAAGGCTTCTCCAGCAGTTACCTTAATAAACCAATCGGTATCTGTATTTGGTGGAAGTATTTCTTTAACATTAGTAAGTTGGGCAGAGAATAGAAGTTCAAAATTCTATAAAAAGAATATCAGTTAAAAGTCAGTGGAGTTAAAATACTAGACGTTAAATGACATGCGCAACACAATAAATATTTACCGGCATACTGTTATTTTATAAAAGCCTATAACAGAAATAGATAGGAGTTAATTATAAAAGAAAAAATCTCAAGTAGCCATTAAGGCGTCCTCAAAATACAAGCAAACTCTATATTATCTCTTGTAAAATCTTAATATTTAAACTTTGTCATGATTATCTACTGGAAAAAAAGTTGTAGGAAACCAATAAAATTAACACCCTTACAGCCTAGCCGACACCGACTCACTTAAGAATCTAACTGTCCAAAATTAAACCTCAGAGTTCAAACAAATAAAATAATCATAGTCTAACCAATTTTTCAAGTACCTTATACTATAAATATAGTTTTAATACTTTACTTGTAAAAAATATCTGCGCTGTTTAGAGCATTGTGAGGTTCTTATAGAAATACTGTTAAGTTTCCGCAAAGGATAATATGACCTTCTAAGAAAATCATAGTATAAATAAAATATAAGCCAAAGGTATAGTTGAAGCTAAACTTGAAGCACAATCATCTACGTGACATATCAAAAGTAGGAGCTGGTATGTCAATATTGATTATCTGTTCCATAGTAATATGAAAAAGCAGCATTGCGACCAAGTGATTGATCATCTTAATAGAAGGAAAAAAGCCAAAGTATATTCAATTTTTAGAATTAATTAAATTAATGGGTCGATTTTTACCGATATATTTATTCCAAATGGCAAACATTTTGATAGTTATCTTTGGCCCTTTGGACGACCTCGAGCTTCAGGGAAGAGAAAAATATCAAAGTCACAAAAAAGTGGAGAGGAGGAACAGAAGATGGACGCGTCATGATAGTTTGAAGTCAGAAGTCCACTGCCGGTTTATAGTTTTTTTGCACTATGTGGAGGTAAGTCTATCGCACGCCCCTAACCGATATACATATATATATTAAACAGCAAATGAATGTTACATCAACAAAAAGGAATTCATCATTTTTCAACAATATAGGGATGTATTCGCAATAAAAACATAGACATATTTCAGAAAATGGGCAACATTTTCTTAAAGCAATTTTTTGAGTAATTAATATAATGAGCATATGAGAAATAGGTCAAAATGCGAAAAAATTAAAATTAATTTGTAGAATATTCTTGATTTGTGTAATACTAATTTTATATTATTTTACGCATTTCAATTTTATTGACCTTGATACTTTAAGTGCATTAAGCTATTATTTAATCTCGAGACAAGAGAATGGCAATCATTTGTAAATTGCGTTTAATCGTAAGTAATAGCATACAAATTTACATATAATTTCCAAGGCATTTATCAACTGAGAATGGATAGAAAAGGGGAGGATGTATTTGCGGATAAACAGGACGTTGTTGAGAAAGATGAATCAAAGGAATTACCAATACGTGCATTCCGACTTGTACATATGATTTTCTCACTAATTTTTGCAATAATTATTAAATATTGCAAGTTTATCGTACTAATTTATTTATTTATCTTTAATTGGAATTATTAACCAATTTTTTTACTTGAGAGTAATTGAACCTGATTGTCCTATTATCTTAATTCAAATTATTTAAACTCAATTGTTGCACAGTTATATCTTTAAGTAATTAGTTTTCAATTAATTTCCTTTCTACCATATTTCTGCATATCTAACTTTATATTAGTTTTTTTGCTGTTTAATTTGTAATATTCACAATTTTATCACTTTTTCTTTTTTAATATCAATTACACTAGTTATATCACATTTCTTTTTAAAGAAAAAATTCAAAATTGCACGCATTAATTATTTTATTTACTCTGCGATTTATTTTTTTAATTTAACCTTCAAAATGTCACTCATGGTTTCTAAGTTTGCTACAAAATTTTGTTCAAGGCCACCGGTACCTTAAAAAAGACAATCATTTCTCCAAGATCACTTCAAACTTAGCATTTCTTGTAAATAGCATGGTGTACTATTGTCGAAATGTCTTCAAGCTACTCATATGATAATCTTGCTAAATTTGCTTAATATAGAAGAATGTTCTGGCCATTAACTTAATTGCTACTTTAAATTTCACTTTTCTTCAAAAATATGAATCAATAGGTAGAGGATCATCAGAATGCAGATAGACTTTCCTCACGTGGCCGTTCAACAGCATCTAGTAATCGATTGACAATGCTTCTTCGATCTTCCCTACGACTCTCAGCGCCCAAGAAAAAGTCCTCAATTTCCTCAGCAAGATCCTTGACAGCTCCAAGCTCCCCGAATCTAACTGGAATTCCACGACCTTTTCTAGTGAAGGAAGTATCCTCAATAGTCAGTGCCTCTAGTCTCGGATATCCCTTTTGTCGAATTTGTCATGATACCAGTGCAGACGAAACTCATGGACGATTAATCGCCCCCTGTCTTTGTGATGGCAGCTTAAAATATGTCCATGAAAAATGCATTCAAAGATGGGTAGATATTAGCAATTCAAAGAGATGTGAACTCTGCCATTTTGAGTACGAAATAAGCTCCTACACTAAACCAATAAATGAAGTAAGTCAATTACTGAAATAACTTAACTATACTCCGCATTAGATATTTATCGTAACTGTAATTTTTTTCCAGTGGAGGTGTTGCCCATTTACCATAGGAGACCTTCGAAAAATGTTCTGTTTTACAATGATTTATTTGATGATTCAAGCCAGTGTAGGATGGGCTCTTTATGCTCTAATAACAAATATCTCTGAACCCGGAGTATCAACTCCTCGATATGCTTTGCACTTTTGGTTGAAAGTAATTGTAATACTCATTGGAATATCATGCGTTGGTGTATTTGCATACATTCAGATCCGATATTGCTATGGAGTGTGCAAACGATGGAGAAGGATCAATCGAGTTAGTCTAATTCAAGAGCCCAGCTTGGAGAGGATTAGGAAACTACGATTGGAATTGCGCTCTTCCTCACCTTATGGACAGGATGATATTTTCACTTCTTTGCCATAGAAGAAAACTACTTATGACGTCTTTCCTCTCCCCCCGTACCCTTTCTATGAACAATCTTTCTTCCCGCCCAGCTTTCTATTTGTTAGGAGTAAAAATTTCCTACATTTTGTACTCATGTGAAAAAACCTATTTTGTTTATAGTTATTTGAGTTCTTTTTTTGTGTGCAAATCTAGGCCTATTTTAATACACTCAAAGCATTACACTGTGGTACGATTAGTCTTCGCTCGAACTTATTTTTGAAAATAATACAAAATGGACTTTTAATCGAAATATGGAATCATTTATCTACTACAAAATAACAAGCCTTAAAGTCAGGTGCCATAAAAATAACGAAAACGGTATAAATAGAAAGCGCTTATGAATTATTTAAGATTATGATGAATGGAGATTGAAACGAATGTTAGCAGTTAACCCGAATTATTAATAAATTAAAATTTACTCTTCAAACACTAAATTAAAAGTTGATGTGATATAAAAATCTTGCTGTTTAGAGAACTATTTTCTTTTAAAGTACGCTTGAGAAAGGTAGGTTCCATGGAATACTAAGTATAACAGGCTGCAAGATTTGCCAAAACAAAGATCAATTTAGCTACAAAACAAGGCCATACAGAACTCTTAGTTATCATATCTTAATCACAAAATTTCCCTCTTACTATGAGAAAAACAATGTTTTTTTATTAAAATACCAACACAAATATTTTAATAACTGCAAATTACCCAAATCAGAGTATGCATTAGTTTTCTAATGGGTAAGTTAAATCAAAGGCGAACAATTAGTAGACATAAATTCATTTATATCAAATGCAGGCTTTAAGATAGTTACAATTAGTCCTTTAGTTGACCTCGGGCTTCACAGAGGGGGTGGGGCGTGGTCATCATAGTCACAAAAAGTGGAGAACGAGGAAAAAGAAAGAGACGAACAGACCCAAAAGTAGAGAAAAAGGTAGGGTATGGTGAGTACTGTGAAAGTGGAGGAATATGACCTACAGTTGGATCATAGTCGTTTAAAGTCAGTAGTCAAATGCTGGCTTATAGACTTTTTTGCTGTATGAGTATACGTTGACCAGGGTGCATCGCGTGGAGGTAAGTCTATCGCTCACCCCATGTGAAGACATCAGTTCTATTTTACAGTATCCTTTGTTGCGATTTGCTCTTCAAATAGTTGGGCTTATGTCCCATTCTCCGGCCTATTAACACTTCATCATCGTCCCCAATACTTATACAACCCCTGCTATTGAGAAAGTGCTGTGAACACCTTTTCAACATTCTAGCTTCCTGGTTTTCCAGTCATATCCGTTTCCCTTAACTTAAATATTCTGTCATCGACACTGGCTCATACCTGCTTTGTGATAGAGAAGCTAGAACAATTGAAAAAAATGACAATATTAGTTGGTTTACTACTTTCTAGATTATCATATTTTAACCTAGAAACACTCCAACTCAAATTAATTGAAAGTTCATATTTAATTTTGCAATTCAATAATTTAATTAAATTTATTAAACATCCACACCAGGAGAAAGCTTAAGTCACAAGTGCAGGTAATGAATGAGTCTTAAGTAGACTTTGGAATGGAGGCACATGACTGATACTATGGAAAGTCCATATTAATTCTACTTTTTCCACTGATTGATCCTCGAAAATGTTTTAACTTTACATGTTCTATGCGAGTTCAGAACTAATTTATACATGAAGGCTAGGAGTCCTGATTAACAATTAGTAGCAACTCCTCGTTTTGGACAGAAAGTTAGGATTAAATGACTGAGGTGACTGAATTCATTTATTTCCCTATTGCCCTAATTTATTTAAGGGAATTTACCAGCTCAAGCGTGCTAACAATATTTATTGAAGTAGAAAATTGTTTGCACGCCATGCATGCACATGGACCCCTAAGGAACAGACGGGTTAAGATTGGAATCGATAATTAGGGAGAGCACCAATTGGTTAAGTCCAATAGTACTGAAAAATATGTATCATTCCCAATTCCAAAGTGTTAATTAAATTCAAAGGATTACCACCATAGCAAATGCAGTGTACGACATTATTGGGCGATCTTTTTTTTATTCAAACGATAGCTTCAAAAAGGCAGCTGAATTTGCGGCCTGGAGAACATGAGATCTTTGTGCTTCCATGGTTCCCTAAGTACCCTTAAAACGCCCACATTTAATGATCTGGTTCGAGGAGTTTCGTGAACAAAAGCATGGTTACGATGTCTAGGGCTTGTTGTTCAGTCGAGTTAATTTCTGGCATTTTTATGCCATCTTTTTACCACAAAGGAAAAGTAAATAAGAGAATACCAAAGTTGGCATGATTAAAGCAAAAATTAACTCTTAAGATGAATCAAATCGTGCATTTTTTACTTAAGAGATGAGAAAAACAAGAAAATGTGAAGTCACTTTCTATTGAGAAGATATTAATTTTCTTTAAATGCGTGCTGCAAGGTAGAACTGTAATTTATTCCTCAATTAACTATCATCGTGTTGTTGAGTTTGAGAAAAATGTTGATAAACCTTTTTTAGAAAGATTCATAAAAGAGTCTTTATTTAGACATATTCCTTTATGCTCTATTATTGCATCCACTAAATCAAATGGACGCTTAGAGGATATAATTGAAACGTAGGATGTATCGCGACATTTACCGATAAACAGGTATTGAGTGGTGAAATTGATGAGTACAACTTTGATGAAATTGCAATGGATGCCGTTTTATCCATAAGACCTTAATTGTCTGAGCATTTAGGAGCGTCCAATATTGTTGACACTCGGTTCTCGATGGCTCTATGGTGCCGGTTGCAGAAGGTATTGATTTTCAAGAGCAACGGTACTTATCTGCATGATTTTTCCTAGTTTGTCTTTTCGCAAACCGATCTGACCATGAGGAAGATGTATATCTAAATTTTCCAGTTTCTCAAGATTAAGCCTTAGTGGCACTCCCAGTTTGAGATTTGCAAAGTCATTAAAAAGAAAATTAACCGTGAAATATTTCCTAATTCTGCATTATTCAAATTTCGCCGCCACAGTGACACCGTCTTTACGTATAGTTTAGTTAGTTACAAATGGAAATTGCTCTTGAAAAAGGGAGAGTAAAGCTCAACCAGAATGAGTCAGAAAAGGAGAAAAATCGATTGATGTCTAGAGCCTTATTGTCAACCAGATGACGGAGGTACTTTTTTTAAATTAATAGTTTCCTGGGGGCAAGTTTCAAGGTCTCAATGTTTTTCAGCAAAATTAGGGCGGCTATTTGATTATTTTTCAAAATTATTCGCATTCTACCATGTCCCACAGTCCTCAAACTTGTTAATTTAAATATTAAAAAAAGGGTTAATTTTTTGCCCCAAACAAACTACATAATAGAACGAAAAATCCTTACTCACACCCTGCCTATATGCAAAATTGTGTTAACGGCAGATTTAATACGGAGAAGGTTCATAATTGGTTCATTACTAATAACATCTAATAGTTTGTTGACACGCAATCGAGGTCGTGTTTATAATTATTCCCACAATGGTATTGCAAAGTTGCATTGAGTATTACTGGGATAAATACCAAAGACATCTCTACTGAATAGACAAACATATTAAACTTTAATGTGAATTGCCACAGCCAAAATTGACACTGCATCCGCCGAGAAAAATCGTTTTTCCGCTTAAACCAAGATAAAATTGACGAAGAATAAGAAGTTAATTACTAATCATGTCTAATCCTAGCAACAGACAACAGCAGTTCATAAGACAAGAGTGTAGAGTCGTGAATGCACTTAACAGTAGCGGTTAAAATTCGAGATTGCTAGAGAGAGAGAGAGAGAGAGAGAGAGAGAGAGTGGGGAGGGGTAGGGAGTGAAGATTAGAATTTAATTAAAAGAAGGAAAAACAATTATAAAGAACTAGACGATGAATAAGGCTCTGAATGAGGGTTTGTGCGTACAAGTGCTAAAACCTATTAGGGGGGGGGGCAATATGAGTAGAAATCGATAATTGATCATCTGAAATCGCTTATTCGCATTCAGTTTAAACCTGCACGAAGACAAACATTTAATTTATTAAATCAATACATTATTTGGAATTAATTTTGCAAATCATTTATGCGGAACCTTCAAAGAATACAGTATCTAGTAATTGATTTAACAATTTTTAAATTGAATTTTTAACCAAGAGGCAAAGGGAACAGTTATATTAACTAGATTTCTTGGAAATATCACATATAAATCCAAACCACTAGGAAAAATTTGGGCGCTTGATTAAAATGTTACTTCACTTTTAAAAAAGCAAAAAATGAATAAAAGATGATTTTGAAGTTTTTACTATTGCAAGATAATGTGGTAACGAAATTCATGACTTTTTATTTGTAATTATGATTTAATTATCGGCTTTTATCCAATTTGTTGCCTTCTTTATGTAATTGAGTCTGTGATTTATTAGCATTTTGGTTAAGTATTTTATTGATTTCTTCCGTTAAAAATTTAGGTCTTTACAATTAACTCTCTCAATTAATCAACTTTAACGCATTTACTAACAGTCTCCTGCGTGTTCACCCCGAAAAAATAATTTGTTGGTGCCTCGATCACATTCTTATCATGACATAGTTTAAATCAAGCAGTTTTAAGGATAAGCGTTTTTTATGAAGTTCCATTTTTAAAATGGAACGCTTTGTGTTCTTAAATATAGACAAGAAGAATGGGTTCTAGAATCACGAGTTAAATAGTTGGAAATCGAAAGAACTCTACTTCAATAGACCTTTAGAATCATTTGTTCAGCTGCTTCCTCAACTTTCCTACTCAGATTTATCTCCAAAAATTGGCATCTTTATTGTACAACTAGTGCTTAACTCAAAAAATAGTTTTAATTTTGCATTAAAAGGAATATAACAAAGAGATGGAAATATCCAATTAGCAAGAAACGAACAGACAGAAGTGTTCGCATACGCTATAATTCATCCATTAAACAAATTGGTAGGAAAATTACAGCAAATCTGTAAAGTAATAAGTCAATTGTCCTACATAAC